TTTTAACTCGCTAATCAGTAGAAAAAGTTCCCTGATGACCTTTCAAATCCAGACAGATCATAGCGATAAAATACTCATGAAGGACATGAGCCATTACACTGAATATATGATCTTACAACTCTTGTAGATGTCATCTTAGCTCGTTCCTTGAGCGAAATTCAAAATTGGAATCGCTGATTAACTCTTATATAGCAATGAAATATCCTGAAGTTGCTCTTATCAACATCTGAAGTAATATTTGATTCAAAATTTTTCTCATGTTCCACTCAGTCTCCTTCAGAAGGAAGAATAAGCATAATCGTACAACGATCACAACTCCACCACTTTCCCAACACGACTGCATGATACATTTCCTTAATTCGCGAACCGCTCTCTTCGACTCAAGCGTTAATTCACTGAAATTTGAAGACCTGTCAAACCACAAATTAGCAAGAACGCTCTGATTGGTGTGATATCGAAAAGTACTACAATCTGATTGGTTTGTGATACACCAAAAAATTGCGCCAATCACATTGCGTTAAGATACACCAAAAAAAAGACGCGCCAATCAGATCGCTTAGAGATACACCAAATTGCGCTGATCAGATTACACTACACCACAATACACCAACCTATATGCTAACATATAGTTATTTTTTTTTAAAAAAATAACTCAAAAACTTAGTCTGTACCTCAATGTACTGGCTCAAACTTGTTTAGTAAGAGGTATTTATATCCAGGGCTCAGTCCATAAATGAAAAGCTAGTAATAACATGCTCATTAATTAGGAGACTGCCCCAACAGTTTGACCCTTTGACAATTTTTGTTTCCCAATAAATTAAGTTTGGGTAATGTATCCATCCCCTCACCTATATAGGCTATCATTAATTAACTTACTGGAAGTATAGTTTGTTTCTTCCTTAGTTCCTAGAAAGACAGAAAAACAATTGTTGTATTGAGGCAATATTGTTACATGACTCAAATTAATTAATTCATTCATTTGAGATATCATTTAGACAGGCTGGCCCTGTTCAGCTTTAAAATTGGTGTATTAACAAGGGCCTGTCATTTAGACGGTCAGACCACAACATTGGAAGATACATTCCCTAGTCTTTGCAAGAAGTGTGTGCAGGGTTCTCTAGCATCTTAGTAAAGGTTTACTTCACAAATAAATACATGGCAGCCCTCTAAGGGGCTGAATTGTATATTTACAAAAATTGTAACAGAAATCTAATAGTATGGCTAATGTAAGAATGTA